TGAAATGCTCCCAAAAATGGCTCCACAGCATGTAAAAATATAATATAAGCTCTGGCGGACTTGGTTCTATGGTAGGTCTTAAAGGGTTAAGGAGGAGTATGTTGGAGTTTAGTGAATACAGAGCTGACTAAAGTTGACTTCACAGGCTTGAAATGTATCACTGTAAATGATTCGATTTGTATACTGTGCATATATTTTTCCTTTACAGTGTCTATGTTCTACAAAAATACCTCCAGTAAAATCCAGCATCATGAGAACTGGTTTGGAGAATTATTTAATTCCTTTTTGAGATAAATAAATCTTTCCTCGAGTAAAATATTTATGCAGCAGTAACTTTATTTCAAATGTAGAAATAATTTTCAAATAAATAATAAGTCTGAAAATATTCAGACCTGGATGAAGGAATTACTATTTCAGAATCCATTAGTTTGGCTTTGAGGCATAGTGTATGGTAATGTGGACCACGACCATAAATATTAATTTACTCCACTCAGTCCGTTGATGTCATGTCCTCCTTAGGTTTCAGCTTTTCTTGGGTCTGATAGGGTCTGGCTTTCCCACATGTGACAGCTGGAGTGTTCCACATTTAGGCATGCCCTGAAAAGACACACGCGCGTGTGCGCACACACACACACACACATCAAAAAACACTCATAAAACCTTTTTTTAAAGTCAGCAACCTAGAAGATAGGCGAGTTGTGTATCAGAAATGGCAAAGAGGTTGTTCAAACCCTTTGCATGAAACAGATGGTGGCATGTATTACTATTTCTCTTGCAACTGACTTCTTTCAACACTCTGGAATCTTAGTACTCCTACTGTCATCTTCCTTCACTTGTTTATGGAACCGGCAGTACCAGCTGGAGATTCTGGAAATACTGAACCGTATCACTGGAGTGACGGGACTAGAAGGACTGACGGTCTTGTGAGTAAAGACCAATAAACAAGCCAACTAAAAGAGGAAAACAAAGACCCTCTTGATCTTTTGAGTTTGAGGTAAACCTATTTTGTTGACTTGATTGCAGGAAAAGGACTGCTGTAAATGTCATGGTCCTGGGTCGGTGACCCAGTGTTTTTGTTTTTTGTACTTTTACTTTTGATAGTTTTATGTATTATGACTGTTGTGTTTTGGTTTCCCTGGGTTTAGTTGTGTTCCCTCTGTTTGATGTCATCCTTGCCTGTGTATCCCCTTTTGTGTAGTAAGATCTCTGTGTTAGCCCGCGTCTCTGAGTCTGTGTCCTTGCGTGTGTGTGTTTCCTGTTTTACTTTGGAGGTCCGTGTCTGATCTCAGTGTGTTCATTTTACTTTTCCCCTGTCTCATCATGTCTGATTACTCCCAGCTGTGCCCTCCTTTTGTGTCTCATTCCCTCGTAATCCTTCTTTGTATTTAAACCTCGTGTCTCCCTCTGTTAGTTGCTGGTTCATCTGCGTTATTCCTCTCTGTCATTCTGTGTATTTCCCTGTGACTCCCTGCATCTCTGTTTCTGGTTAGTTTCTGTTAGTTTTTCCCAGTTTAGGTTTTCTTAGTTTCATGCTCACCCTTGCCATCTCTGTTTGTATCTACATTTGATTAATAAACTCACTTGCACCAGAGCTGCCGCATCTTGGGTCCTTAATAATTCACATACGGCTTGCCCCAGCAACCCGTGACAGTAAAACAAACTGATTTGTTTATATCTGTGAAGAATGAGATGTAAAATTGAACACTGAAAACATAAAGTGGAGTTTGGATTTCCTGAGTTGTAAAAGGTTCCTGTAAGTCAGGGGTTTGGGTTATTTGACATATTCTTTGAATATATTTTTGTGATTCTTGTTGAAGCTGGTGTTTATTGCTTTTATGCAGCATTTTTGTTTCATTCAGTGTTCAAGTGTTCACTGTATATTCATTTTGCTTACATCCTTTGACCATAAGTTTAAGGGGCTGGAGGAAACACAGAGGCTAAAAAATACAATCTTAAATGTCTGGAGAAAATCAACCAAAAATACCTACCATGACACAAGCCCTCCTTCTCTTTGTCTTTAATAGTTTTCCATTACTCTCCTTTTAGTTTATTTTCTAAGAGCCTTTCTCTTGTTTTCATATTTTGTTTTACCTCCAGTCTTTGTATTTTTCTCTTCTTTTTTTATTGATTGTAACATGTTGTAACAGTTGATACATACAATTAAGCATGCTGGTATGTTTTCCTCCTTTGTGGAGGAAAACCGAGACTGAGATTGTGTGCTAGATAAAATCGAATGTGATTAACAGTTTCGCACATATAAATAGTCGTTCATTTTTGGATAACTTTTTTATGGGTAAAAAATTCTTAGCTTACTTTTTTTTCTCAAATGAAAGGGAATTTGCTTTTCAGGCTTAAAATGTTTTCCTTTTTATTACAGTGGTGGAGTCTATAGTCATTTCAGTCCATTTATTAGATGCCACCATGCGGGCTATAATGATAAAACAATTACTTTCTGAGCAAAGTCGTTGGAAATAGCTCAGACAAACTATCTTAATCTGTAGTTGTGGCTCATAAGAAATTATACTGTACTTGTATGGTATGCATTTTGTTCCTAAGTGTTTCTTCTTTCCTTTCTCTGCACATTTCTAAATGTATTTAACCACTATGTGTTTCCCCTCACAGCATGTGTTACAGGCTTCTTCAAGGCTGCTCAGGGAGACCACAAATGTTTACAGTGTCCCATTAACAGCCGGACCACCAGCGAGGGAGCAACTAACTGTGTCTGTCGCAATGGCTACTATCGCACTGAATCTGACCCTCCACAGATGCCTTGTACCAGTATGTATACACACACCTGTCACAATTCCTAGATAGCACACTACAAGATACAAATAGGCTTAGCCCATGAGCATATCAAGATGGTGATATCAGTTTTGGCCAGGGTGTACCCCGCCTCGAGCCCTGTGACAACTGAGACTGACTCCAGCTGGGGTGAGAGGAAACAGAAGAGGAAAAATGAGATGAAGCTGATCCATGTGAACAAAGCTGCAAAAAAGGGATTATTCATAACCTACACTAGATTATTTGACAAATTAAAGCTGCTCTATGTATACATTGAGTTGTGTGTAATTACATCTTCTCATTAATTTAGAAGTAATTAATTATTAAAAAAAGAGGAAGGGATGCCTGATTTTAGAAGCTGACATGTTGCCCTGCTATCTTGAATATGGTGGTTGAGATGGAAATAGTCCTTATGTATGTAGCTAGAGATCGGCCACATACGTTGTTTTTAATATAAAGATCACAAATAACTCTCTGAAACTATATATGACCTTTTGATATTTGTGTGTGTGGGCAGCTATCTACTATGAACAGTTAGGGATGAGGGTACGAAGACAAAATTTTAAAAAAAAAATCAAATAATTTCTTATTTCAGATCTTTGGCCAAATATTGATATTCTTCAATTATGTTAATATATAGTGTGTACAGAAATGTTTTTATACACAAAGAGTAGTAGAGACATGCCAACTGGCTGTGACTATTATGGGGAAATGCAAAGCAGCTGGCCACTAAATGTGATCATAAATGTGTTTTTCTTGCACCAGCCACAATATCTAGGATTTTGCACTTGAATTGGGAGGAGTAAGAAAACTGAATTCAATTGACTACAATCTGCAATCTACTCACATCCAGTGGTGAGATTTTACATACTATACCTTTAAAATATGTCATTAGAATTAGGAATGTAATGTACAAGTAAAAAAAAAAAAAAACAAGTAAACTCTTACATGGAAATTAATTAATATTTGTAATGGATAGTAAGTCAAGAAGGGCATAGGAGGATTCCCATTAGCTACAACCGTGCAGCAGCAGCCGTGCAGCAGCTATCTTCCAGCAAACATTACCACAGAAAATGTAGACCTCATGTGAGATAGCTCATGTCAGGCCTAGAGCAATTTTGCCTTTTGAGTCTCTTTGTGGGCTTTTTGTGGGCAAGCCACAGTGTTCTTTCCCATTGAAAACCTTCATTGGGAACCTAATTTTATTTTTGAACAACACTACTCCACACCAATTATGTAATGTACCATGGGACAGATGTGGGCCCCACACTGTGGAGCCTAGGCTGGCCCAGGTCCCAGTACCAGCATGAAATATGGCCCATATCACACTGGTGATATTTGGGCTGGGGGTTTGAAAGTTGGTATTGTGTTGGAGGATGGGAGAACTGTTTGAATGGTCCTCTGACATGTGACAAAAAGCATGATAGTCTAGGGTGTCTTATCTGTCTGCAAATCATTTTTATTTTGTTTGTTTTTTCTTCTGTTTTTGTTTTTTACCTTAAAAATACTGTAGCGAGATGCAGAGTATTCTTTTTTTTTAATCCAAAGGTATAGACACCTTTTTGGAGGGTCCCAAGCCAAGGTTTGCAGTCGGCAGTATCTGGAATTTTTAATTTTTCCATTAGAATGATGTTATTATTATTGTGTCCAAAGTGGTGAAAAAAAGCTGCTGTGGGTTGAATAGGGATCATTGTGAATACATAATTGATCTTTATGGTGTTAGTACATCCTAAAATTAAAAGTGGTTTTGTCATCCATCGGTTTAAGTCATCTTTTATTGTTTTCAACAGAGGAGTGAAACAGTGGAACAGCTCTGACAGTTTGGGGGAGAATTGTATGTCTAGGTATGTGATCATGCCAGTAGTAGGTGGTAGGTGAGGGATCTGTCATGTATAAGAATGGGTATCTCCATTTATTATTAAAGTGGTAGATTTATTCCAATTTATTGTATAATCAGAGATTTGGGAGTATGTATTAGTGATTTGGATTAGTTCTTTAACTGATTTATTGGGATTTTGTAGGAACCGGAGTACATCATCTGCATATAAACTTTTTTTATATTTATGTGTTTATTGGTGTATTATTGGTGTAAATGCCTATGATGTTAACGTTCTGACGGATTGCTGCTGCTAATGGTTCAAAGAAAAGTGCAAATAATGAGGGTGAGAGTGGGCACCCTTGTCTTGTACCTCTGTGAAGTGTGAAATTTGTTGAGATTAAGTTGTTTGTTATCAGCCATCCCTCAAGATTTTCTCCATTTAAAGCAATGCGTTATCAGGAATTGTAACATCTAGTCCTTTTACTGAATCAGAATTATGGCTACTTTGGTGGGATAGATGTATGAGGTTGAAAAGTGTATTATTTGAAGAATGTCTGCCTTTAATGAATCCTGAATAAGGTGTTTGTTTGTCTTGAGAAGTATTGAAATTAGTTCTGTATTCACATGGTATGGAATGAACTTGTTATTTTTTATTTCATCTACCATTTATTAATTATAATTATATAATAATTACAATAATTATAATAACAAATAGACATATAGAATCAAACAAATATCAGGCCTATACTGGAGAAATAAATACTATACCGGTTATATTAAGGATGAAAACCAAAATTCCCCTATTGCCTCTGTGGGGGGTCTTTATCATATAATCCTGGAAACTTGAGGGTACTGCACAGTATCTTTGCTGTTCCTAGGACTGCGCTCTTCTGGACAGAGATGTCCGATGTTGTTCGTGGGATCTGCTGGAGCCACTCGCCTAGCTTGGGGGTTACTTAACTGAGTTCTCCAATTACCACTGGGACCACTGTTACCTTCATCCTCCACCCTCTCAAGCTGTTCTCTGAGCCCTTGGTACTACTCCAGCTTCTTCCAGTTCCTTCTTCCTGATGTTGCTGTCATTCAGTATTGCTATATCTATCACTACGTCCATCTTCTGCTTGACTACCACTACTATGTCCGGTTGGTTAGCCACCACCATTTTTTCATTCTGTATCTGGAAGTCCCACAGGATCTTAGCTCAGTCATTCTCCACCACCCTAGGGGGCATCTCCCATTTTGACCTCGGGACTTCCAGGCCATACTCGGCACAGATGTTTCTGTATACTATGCTGGCCACTTGGTTATGGCGTTCCATGTATGCCCTGCCTGCTAGCATCTTGAACCCTGCTGTTATGTGCTGGATTGTCTCAGGGGCATCTTTACACAGCCTGCACCTGGGGTCTTGCCTGGTGTGATAGACCCCAGCCTCAATGGATCTTGTGCTCAGAGCTTGTTCCTGTGCTGCCATGATTAGTGCCTCTATTCTGTCTTTCAGTCCAGCTTTGTCCAGCCACTGGTAGGATTTCTGGATGTCAGCCACTTCCTCTATCTGCCGGTGATACATACTATTCAGGGACCTGTCCTTCCATAATGGTTCCTCCTCTTTCTTGGGTTTCTGCTGCCTGAGGTATTCACTGAGCACGCATGGTCAGGGGCTTCCTGGTCTTGATGTCAGTGGCTTCTATCTCCTCCTTTGGCCAGCAGGTTACCTGATCAGAGGCAGGGCGTAGGTGTTGATAGCCCGGATTTTGTTCTTACCCTTCAGCTGACTCCTCAGGACTTGCCTGACCCTCTCCAGGTATTTGGTGGTTGCAGGTTTTCTAGCGACCCCTTCATGGTTCCCATTTAACTGTGGGATCCCCAGATACTTGCAGCTGTCCTCAATGTCTACAATGTTGCCTTCTGGTAGTCGTTCCCCGCAGTTCTGACTACCTTCCCTCATTTTGTTATCATCCAACTACACCTCTTCAGACTATACGACATTCCAATGTATTTGCTGTATATCCTGGTGGTGCAGGTCAGTGAATCAATGTCTCATGCACTCTTGGTAGACAGCTTGATGTCATCTATGTAGAGGATGTGCCTGATGATTGCTCCGTTCTGTAGTCATTATCCATATCCAGTCTTGTCAGTGATCTCACTGAGGAGGTTCAGGCCTATGCAAAACAGCAGTGGGGGCAGTGCATCTCCTTGGTAGATCCCGCACTTGATTGAGTTCCTGATGAAGGCGCTTAGGGTCCTGTTGGTCTTGTATAGTTCTAGGCATTCCAGAATCGAGGTGTGGGGCATCGAGTCATAGGTCTTCTTGTAATCAATCCATGCAGTGCACAGGTTGGTCAGCCTAGTCTTGCAGTCTCAGCTGACTGCTCAGTCTACCAGTAGCTAATGTTTTGCACCTCTGGTTTTCTTGCCAAAGAGATGAGTTGGGCCTGGAGGTGCCAAATTCCACCATTCTGGCCTCCCTCACTTGTGATGATGCAGGGTTGATGAGCTCCTAGACCGATTAGGCACTGCTTGGATTTGACCAAGGGCTACTGGCAGATTCCCTTGACTCCAGATTCCAAATAGAAAACAGCCTTTTCTACTCAGGATGGTTTGTACCAATTTGTCACACTTCCATGGTAAATGGCCTGTATTTGTATAGCGCTTTACTCGTCCCTAAGGACCCCAAAGCGCTTTACACATCCAGTCATCCACCCATTCACACACTGGTGATGGCAAGCTACATTGTAGCCACAGCCACCCTGGGGCGCACTGACAGAGGCGAGGCTGCTGGACACTGGCGCCACCGGGCCCTCTGACCACCACCAGTAGGCAAAGGCATATACTGCAGCTGTATATGCTGCCGCCTCATCATCCATAGTGACACCTAGAAAAAGCATATGCAAAGATACAGTGTACCGTCTCACATGTGAGAAAGGACTGCTCACACACTGGAGTCAGAGCCATCGACTTCGACAATGACCTGGCAGGTGCATCAACAGGATGGAAGTGGTGGCGAAATGTCCTTCAGAGAGATCAAATGATAACTGGACTTTTGGAGAAGTGAATTGGATTAAAGTTAGGGCAATTTTACTGAAAGCACGAATGAAACGATGATAGAAGTGCTTGCAGTTTGATGGCACTGGCCAGTCTAGCACTGCCTGCACTTTAGTGGGGTCTGGTTAGAGGCTGTCTTTTTCAACCATATATCAGAAGAAGGAACTGTGTCAACATGGAACTCACATTTTTCACTCTCACGGCATGTCTAATCACCGTCATGTCTAATTTTCTGGCAAAATAATGACTTGGAGAGAATAAGTATGGGTTATTACTGTGATTTTTCCATTGATCATAAGACTTGAAGAGTGGAATGCTTATGACAGAGGTGTTCAACTCCAGGCCTCAAGGGCTGGTGTCCTGCAGGTTTTAGATATCACCCTGAGTCAGCACACCTGAATCAGATGTTCATTACCAGGCCTCTGGAGAATTTCAGGACATATCGAGGAGTTTAATTTAGTCATTTAAATCAGCTGTGTTGGATGAAGGCCACATCTAAAACCTGCAGGAGACCTGCCCTTGAGGCCTGGAGTTGGACACCCCTGGCTTATGAGTTTCACCCACCAGTACCCCTACCATTACTGTTGAGTGCGGCCCTTTTGGCCACACTCTGGTCCTCTAGTGTGATTTCCAATACCTTTATGAGCTGTCCTTATGTAATGACTGATGTGTCTACTCAGCTCTGTTGCTATGATGCCTGAGATGAGCTTCTATGTTGTGGAGAAACAGGTATTTGGGCAGTAGTTCAATGATATCGTATCCTTGTAGAGCTCTTTTTATGATCAGGATTGTTCTGCCCTGTGTTAGCCGGTTTGGATTAGTACCTAGGAGGAGCCCTGTTATTTGTGCTATTTGTGAATTTCAGTTGTGGGTGGGTCTGCCCGTGTGCTATTTTTTCCTTGTAGCAGAGAGTACACCCTGGATGCATCTTAGCAGAACAGGTCATTCTCTTCTCTGATTTATCTCTTCAGCCTAGTTTCCAGAGCTGTGAGCCTTTGTTTGGCAGTTTCTAAATCCTCGGTTTTGAAAACCCAATTGTACCTAATTTTCATCCAGGACCACTCTCTCATGAAACCCTTTTGCATCGATTGATATCCTTCTGGGCTTCTCTGATTTTGGCTTCCAGCTGCCCTTTCTGTGGGGAAGCTTTCTCTACCTGGATCCTTGATCTTATACCCAAGTGCTTCTAGGATTTCTGTGTCAGTCGTTTCAGTGATACTGGTAGTATGAAAGGTGCAAAGAGCAGTTTTTTTTCTACAATCATCTGATCTGATGGAGCATTGTCAATGTTCCATCACTTCATCAGTTCAATGTTCTCTCATCCCAAACGGTCATGGCAGATGGCTGCCCCTCCCTGAGCCTGGTTCTGCTGGAGGTTTCTGCCTATTAAAAGGGAGTTTTTTCTTCTCACTGTTGCCCAAGTGCTTGCTCAAAGGGGTTCATATGATTGTTGGGTTTTTCTCTGTATGTATTATTGTAGGGTCTACCTTTGATTTGATTTGATTTGATTTGATATACCACAAGGGGAAATTTCATAAGGCTGCCGACCTATTGCACGCAATGGTGGCGCCATCTTACCCTCTGACCATACATACATTACACAAAACATCACATGGGGAAGACAGGTCAGAGAGGTATAACAATGGAAAAATGCACCACATGAGGAAAGATAAGGAGAAAAAAATAACTCCCCCCAGACTGAGATCCAATAGGGAGATCAGTTTGAGAACAGAAAAAAACACCTCTGCACATAGCACATGAAAAAAACTCTTAATACACCAAAGAAACACATGACAAGCAACAGGGGTGGGTAAAGGGTGAGAGACAGCCAATTTAGACAGTACATCCGGGCCTGCAGCCTGTGCGCTGGTCTCCTTGATCCACGTCAGCATCGGAAGGGAATAAGCGTCGAAGGCATTTGGAAAGGGAGGGGGGGATGAGTGTGTGCATATCAGTGTATATGTATGTGTGTGCGTGTCCAGAGTTCAGCTGAGACAGTGTCCTTCGCCCTGCTAGGCTAAGTAAACAGTCTTCCAGCCAACCCAGGTGGCCTTGCATGGAATGGGAAGGAACAGACTAAACACAGTCGTTATCAGGATGTTTTTGTTCGGCTCCAGCCTTGCGACCACAGCTGGCGCCGAGAGGGTATCCGCATGAAGTGATCGTGCTTTTTACTGTAGTGCGAACAGCTCATGTGAATTTCAAAGCAGTTCTATACCTTACAATATAAAGCGCCTTGAGGCAACTGGTGTTGTGATTTGGTGCTATATAAATAAAATAAAATTGAATTGAATTGGGGGAATTGTGCTTTTGATTGCCTAACCTGAAGAGGAAGCTCACAGTTGTCCAGCAGAGAAATATAGACTTGGAGCCTGAATTTCATTTTTCCCCATTTGAACTTTATACCCCTTGAACTTCTATACATTTTGTCGCCTTACAACCATAAACTTAAATGTTTTTTATTGAGATTCTCTGTGACAACACAAAGTAGTACATAATTGTGAAGTGGTATTAAAACGATACGTGGTTTTCAAAATTTTAAACAAATAAACGTAAGATAACATAACGTAACATAAGAAAAGTATGGCATGCATTTGTATTCAGCCCCCTGTACTCTGATGCCCCTAAATAAAATCCAGTGCAATCAGTTGGCTTCAGAAATCACCTAATTTGATAATCGAGTTCACCTGTGTGTAATTTAGTGTCATTACAAGTTATAAATATTATATTATAATTATATAACCTATAAATACACCCCACCCCCAAAAAGATGCAGTACTGACGCCACCATCCAATAGACCAGGGCAAACACAAACAGAATTTGGGCAAGATAGGAAGGGTAGACCCTCCCCCCACGCAGTGATACTGCAATCAATTTTGTAACAACCTGCAGGAGCATGACTGATTGAATGTTCTGCCAGAGTCTACATTGATCCCCTTGAATTGAAGATTCAAAAATGAAGATTTTTAATTGTATTTAGTTTTTATTTATTTTGCAATCACAAGACATGTAATAAGTTTAAAAAATATATTTTGTTTCCATTATCATCCTGTAGATAATTGGATTGTTGTTGTTTTTTCCAGATAATGCAAATACACTAAGTGGGAATCTGGTTATCGGAACAAACAGATGTTCTATTGCTTGATGTTCTTACATGTAGTCTCTGTACTAAACCTCTAGAGCTTGCAATCCTTAGCTAGTGAGGTGCAAGCTTGAGAATTAAAAAAAAACAAACAAACTTATAACAGGCAGTAATTACTATTAGCATAATTTTCTTTTTCCCTTTGTCTTCTAGCTGTTCCATCTGCACCACAAAATGTCATCTCCATAGTAAATGAGACTTCTCTGATACTGGAGTGGAGTTCACCAAAGGAGAGTGGTGGCCGAGAAGATGTAGTTTACAACATCATATGTAAGAGTTGTGGCAGCCGTCGCAGCGGCTGCACCCGCTGTGGTGACAACGTGCAGTTTATCCCACGTCAGCTGGGACTCACCAACACCCGAGTACATATCAGCGACCTCATGGCTCACACGCAGTACACATTTGAAATACAAGCTGTCAATGGAGTGTCTGATCAGAGTCCTTATTCACCACAGTACACATCTGTCAACATCACCACCAACCAGGCTGGTGAGGCATGATGTTACTCTAGTGATATTTCAGTGATTTCAGTATTAACTTCTGTTTTAGTAGCTCAAATGTCTGTTAGCATGTTTTCTACACCCTTCAGATCTCTCTGTTTTTTTCTCAGCACCATCAATAGTGTCCATCATCCACCAGGTTAGCAGAACTCCTAACAGCATCACTCTGTCCTGGTCCCAGCCAGATCAGCCCAATGGTGTTATTCTGGACTATGAACTGCAGTATTATGAGAAGGTACATCAGTGCCAACTGATTGAATTCATTTCAATTCAGTTTTATTTATATAGCACCAATTCGCAAAAGCAGTCACCTCAAGGCATCTGAACCTGAAACATTTTGGCTCTTGAATTGTACTCAAAAATCTTACAGTTTTAATTATAGACAGATCTGCCTGATTTAAAGTCTTTGGTGTGTGTTATTCAGAACCAAGCAGAATGGAACTCATCTCTAACGAGGAGTCAGACCAACACTGCGGTCATACGAGTTTTAAGGCCTGGAACCATATACGTGTTTCAGGTCCGGGCTCGGACTGTCGCTGGATTTGGACGCTTCAGTGGTAAAATGTACTTCCAAACCATGACTGAAGGTAGGAATCAGATTTACTGACAAACTAAATTCAGACGTATTTCATCCCCTGTGTGCTGCCTAATATATAAGTCTAAATATAAAAATTACTCACATTTTTGTGGTTTCTTGTCTTTTCATCTGTAGAAGAATATAACTCCATTATTCAAGAGAAGCTCCCCCTCATCATTGGTTCATCTGCTGCAGGGGTTGTCTTTATTATTGCCATCACTGTCGTCATAATTGTTTGTCGCAGGTGAGCCACTCTGTGTCCACTCTGTCCCCCAGAAAATGTTCCACTCTTCACCACATTATTGTCTAAAAATCTGTACCAATTTTTTACAAAGCCACAGAAATGATACAGAAAGCACTTTATCAAAAGTGCTGATTATGAATAAAACTGCAACTTGATCCTGAAGAAATACACTCAAACACTGTAACCTACAAAAACTGCATTATGTGGTGGCAACTAGGGATGGGTATCGTTTAGGTTTTATCCGATACCGGTGCCAAACCGGTACTTTTGAAACGGTGCCGGTGCTTAAACAGTGCT